AAAAAAAGAATTGAGTAACTGACCATCGACGAGGCCATTGGAATAATGGTTTCAATAACCAAGGACATTTTAAGAATGTTGTTCCGAGCGCTAGTCCGCATTTTGATGATTGTGATTGCCGCACTTGTTTTATTGAGTTTGAGAAGAGTTTTGCGGATTTTCAACGTGTTCGGAGGGGTCTTCGGCCTCCGGCTCAGCACTGGCTATCCAGAAACCACTAGTAGATGCAGTTAATTTTTCATCGATGGAAAACAAGAAGGGTAACTCAGAAATGAGTACTTCACACAATTTAAACGATGAAAAATATTCAAAACAGCTGGTTATCCATTCACAAAATTGGCATTGCTGTTTTTGACACAATGTTCGACTGTGGATTCCACCAACTGTCAAATATTGTTAATCCGGCCGGAAATGTTTTGGATCTTGTTTTCACAAACAATTTCTATGAGATGTCGTTGATTGAATCAACAAGACCATTGGTAAAATCCGACATCTGGCACAAGGCAATTGAAGTCGAAGTGACAATTGATGGAAATGAGCCCACAACCCCGCAGGCGTCGGAAATATATGCATACAACTCGGCCGATTTCGATGCGATGAACGAATTTTTCGTTACAAATGATGTTTTGTTGGGAATAAATCGAATTGATGACCTCGAGAATGCATTCCAATTATTTGGCAATGTTCTACACGAGGCAATAGGCCAATTTATTCCAAAAATCACCGTACAAAAAAGCACAGATCCACCATGGTACACGAAACATCTGAAGCACATGAAAAATGTTAGGAGGAAAACATACAAACGAGCAAGAGAGACTGGCAATTTTGACGAATACAATACCATCACGGATTCGTTTTTGCAGTTGCAAAGTCAACTATTCCAGTCGTACATTAGCCGCATACAATCGCAAATCAGATTAAATCCTAAACATTTTTGGCGATTTGTAAACGACAGAAGAAAGAGAAGTGATATTCCGGCCACTGTTGAATACAACAATGAGACTGCAGACACAGACACATCGAAAGCAGAATTATTCGCTGATTTTTTCGAAAATCAGTACACACGAAGCGACATTATCGACTTGAATCAATTGCTGGATGAATGCGGAGACGTATCATTTGACATTGACATCACTGAAGCCGATGTGTTGAATGCATTGCAATCCATCAACGAGAACAAAGGAGCCGGTCCTGATGGAATATCGCCGAAAGTGTTAAAGAATTGCGCACACTCATTGTCGAAACCATTAACAGCGCTATTCTGTAAATCGATGCATCAAGGATGTGTTCCGGCAGCATTGAAAAATTCCAGAATTGTGCCAATTTACAAGGCTGGTAAAAAGAGCAATGCAGCGAACTACAGGCCAGTAGTGATCATACCAACAATAGCCAAACTTTTTGAAATTGTTGTGTATGACAAAATCGACACATTTGTAAACTCCAAAATTATCCATAATCAGCATGGATTCGTGAAAAATCGATCAACCTCAACAAATTTACTCCAAATGGTAAATTTCACGATGGACTCAATGGTCAAAAAATGTCAAACAGATGTGCTGTACACCGATTTTGAGAAAGCTTTCGATCGTGTGAACCACAAGAAATTGTTGCAGAAGCTGGTAGGATTCGGATTCGGACGACAGCTTGTCAAATGGATAAATGGTTATTTGACAGAACGAACGCAGTTTGTTGGAATCGGTGAAAAAAGGTCACGGACCTTCACTGTGTCATCTGGTGTACCAGCGGGAAGTATTTTGGGACCTTGTCTTTTTGTTGTTTTTATTAATGACATTGTCGAAATAGTATCAAATGCACTTGTTTTATTATTCGCAGATGATCTGAAATTGATCCGAACCATACAATCGCCTATAGATGCCTTATTATTTCAAAATGCCATTAATCAATTGAGCGAATGGTGTACTGAAAATAGCCTGCATTTGAACTTGAAGAAATGTTTCGTTATGACATACTCAAAAAGCGGAAACATAGTCAACTATGATTATACGATCAACAACGGCCAACATACATTTGAACGGATCAACATACACAAGGATGTGGGAGTTGTATTTGACACGAAGCTGACATTTGTCAATCACATCGACGCGATTACAGCCAGTGCACATGGGGCAATGGGTTTTATTAAACGCACATTAAAGAATAAGTTTACGATTGAATCTGCAAAAATGTTATACTGTGCACTAGTAAGATCAAAGTTAGAGTACGCGAGTATTGTATGGCAACCATATCAACGTATCCATTCCAATAGAATAGAATCAATTCAGAAAGATTTTGTGATATGGACATTGAGATTTATTTACCAAAGAGACGAGAATTTTGTGCTACCACCGTATCAATTTAGATGTGATGTTTTAAATATTCAACCGCTTTGGAGACGGCGTATAAATGCCTCTATATTTTTAATTTATGACCTCCTTTTGGGTAAAATAGTGTCTAGTTCACTAAGAAATAAAATTGTATATACAAGACTGCAATATAACGAAAACCAGAGAAATTTAAGAAATACAGAACTGATTAGGGTCAGAGCGTTTCCTTAAGACTATGCACATAATCAACCATTTTACGTGGCTTGTAGAAATATTAACTTAGTAAGAGAACAATTTTTGGCATCAGCATCAAGACAAATTTTTAGAAATAGTATTGTCAAATTGGAAAATGTGATTTTTATTGATAGGTGAAAAATGTAACTTTTATGTAGTAATAAACAGTAATTAACAGTGAACACAATCGATATCTGCTACTCCGAAGTCGAAAAGGCTGGTAGCTGGGTATCGATCGGGTAGTGTTTCATTGTAAACGATATTGTACAAATTTTGAGATAAATTCAGTCTGTGATCAGACGGTGAATAAATAAATAAATAAAATGTAAATGGATTAAAAACAAAAATTCCGGAGTTTGTGGCTGAAATTCTAGTGCACCATTCACAAATTTACATGCTTCGAGAGACTCATCTGAATTACGCCATCAATTCGAATGACTTGTTTCCGCAGATGTACGATGTATATCGTTGTGATCGATCACCAAACACTGAGAGGGACAAGTTCATCACAAGGAGAATGGAGGAGGAGTTTTGATCGCTGTTAACAACAACCTAAAGTCGGTTTGCATAGGGACGGGTGACCTGTTCGGTGCGGAACAGATTTGGGTAAAAGTTTCTGGACTAAAACGAAACATCATTTTGGTAGAATCACAGCGGACGGCAGTTCGCGCGAGTGACGAAACCACATTAGTGTGTTGAAAAGTCGAACTCGCTATATATACACGTAATATACGAAATCCAGACCTAGAAGGCCGTTGGCCCCGGGTGATGTATGGTTTGAAAGCCCTTGGGCTATAGATCAAGAAAAAATATAAAAGTTTGAAAATAGGTCCACCTGTCTTCAAAATATGGTCCTTTCAAGAAAAGGGTCAAAATTCAGTTCTACAGCTATAGATGGCACTAAATGAGGTCGTTGACCCCTGAAACTTCGATATTCGGATTTTTGAGCTCAATACCTTTCCAACGACCCCCTAACCGTCGAAATCGATCAATCCGTTCGAAAAATTTGTTATTTTAAAAATTTCATATGAATTTCTATGAAAAATCAAAATGTCTGTCTGTCTGTGGACAATTTTGCGTAGTTGTTTCTGATCTTTTTCAAACTTTCTGGGATTAAAGTACATAAAAAAACTAAGACTTTTTTGTTCCGGCACTTTTCGATATGGCCGCCATGTTGGCCATGGCCGGCCTCTAAAAGTCACTTTTCGACTTTTTTTCCTATGGTCACCGAAGCGCCATGACTTGACACCACCCCAAGACATATGCATATCATTGAAAAGGTCTTGAAGTGAGCTATCGAATGAAGCCATTTGCGGTCCAAAAATTTCAATTTGGAGTGGCCAAATTGGCCAAAAACCAAAAAGTTACCGTTTGGCCGGACACATAATGGCCATTAGCTCGAAAACTAGCCTTTCATGGACACTTGAAAATTTCACCGATTTTTAGGCCCAAGTCTAAGCTATAAAATGCTGCATAGCTTATATCCCAGAAAATTCTTGTCTTCACGATATGGCCTTTGATAGTGCGAATATGGCCAAAAATGATCATGCATCAGCATGAACTCAAAGTAAAAAGGAGAGAATTTCTGCAACGTTCCGAATATACAAATGTATATTAAGTTTATATTCACAGTACACAGAAAATATATCTACCAACTATTTTCGTCACAAAATTGATATCAGAAATTTTGTGTTTCAAATTTTGGTTTCGTCACTCGTTCTTCATCTCGATAGAGGTTTTTTATTTGATTTTATATACAATGTAATTAATTGGTTCATATAATGTATAATCACACTGTCCTAGTTTTTTTCAACTTTAAAAAACGACAGAGACGGGACTAGTCATTCCTAGCTAATTCCGGGCCAAGGAATTCATCGGTGATAACCGTTTTTCTTAGTTGGCTCATTACTTCATACAAAAAAATTTTTTGAAGTTTCCATTTTCCACTATTCTGGGAGATTATGTGTTTATTAATCGATTATTGTGAAAATTGGTATTGGGGGGTTTTTTGGAACGAAAAAACCGAATCTGGCATTTATTCCAAGATCCGATCATATTCGAATACATTTCCTGTACAAAAAATCGAAAAAATCACAAAAACTGTCGAGTTTTATCACCTTTTCAAACAAATATTAAATATTCTCACCGAAAATCACATAAATGATTCATAGCTGTCTTAAAA